CTCGAGACGTGCGTGGATAGTGCGTTGGACGCAGTGAACGGTCTTACCGGTCTTAGACTTGACTAAGAGAAAGAGGTGGACTTACATATATTTCTATCACGACCCATTATCTGTTGGACTTTCATTGGCGTTTGGGAATACGGAAACGGTTACGGGACAACACGGACAACGTGATACCAATGAGCTGGCATTATTGACGTTTTGGCGATATACGGCATATACCTCTTTAACGTATGAGCTAGGTGTAGAGAATCAAGCACTTGTTGGGTACTTACACAGCTGCATGCTATATGGTGTTCAAGTATTTTCGCAACCAAAAGAAAGAGACTACATCTGACAGCTCTTGGACAACGTCACAAGACGTTACAGACCCCGACTTGTCAGAAGCTTGGACTGAGCAGAAGCTGTGATGGGATGGGATGATGTGTTGAAACGGGTGTCTGTGCAACGACAATGTGCCTAAGGGACGATGGACGCTTCTTGACGGGACATGCTGTCCATTTAAGTACATTCTCCCACTGGCAGTTCGGAGTAGGTTGGTTGTTGAGGAGGAAGGAAGCATTTGCTGCGTGGTCATACGAGCTTGGTGAGGTGGCTGAGGCACCTTGATGACGGAAAACTTAATTCCGACCTGTAGATGTGTTCGCTCATGCAGGAACCGTCTTCAGGACGAATAACTGTATCGTTCGGTTGGTGGGGGCGGCACACTTCACCGACGCCCCCGGAGGTCGGTCTACTGCTAGATGCATGTACGATAGCCATGATGACGGTTTTTCATGCTTGTGTTTAATATGCCCTCAGGGCTCGCTCTTAAAAGCTTCGGGGACTTTACGAGAACCCTGCTAGCGCTCTCACTCAAAATAGCCGCTCGGTAGCCTCAGTGGTTCTAAGCCAGTACATCTTGTGAGGACGGGAACCGTAGCAGGCTTGAAGCAAGCAAAAATGTCATACCGGTACACGCTGACTGTTCGATTCTCTCCGCCGCTAGTACAGATCCAGGAGATTAATGGGCAGTTTACCAGGTTCATAGATCTTCAAGTGCTGGCTGCCTCGCATGGCCTCCGTACATAGGCCAGTGAGCCCGGAATGCATACATGACGCTTTCTGATTCCAGAGGCATTCAGGCATGACCTTAGTCTGGAGCCTCGATTGCTCCGACCGCAAAGCACATCGTTCAACCACACCATGGCCCTGTCTTGACTTGACCATCACGGCACCCGCGGAAATCACAGATTCGGCAATGTTCTTGATCGCGGGAACACAATTCGTCTTCGTCTAGACCCTTCCAGCGAGCCGGTCTGCCGACTCGAGAGGTAAATGTACAGCGGAGCAACTCCCCTCCCTCTCGCTTCCCCTCCAAGCCGCCCCTCTAGTGGTGGTCGTTGCCGTGGCTGTCGCCATGGTGGTGGTCGTCGGCCAGGAAGAAGTACTCGTACGCGCAGTAGCCGGCGAAAGCGACGGTCGCAATGCCCAGGCCGGGGAAGGATCCCTTGAATCGGTTGAACCTCGTGAAAGGGCCCTTGTATCTCCAGGACTCTCTGTATCTCGACCGTCAGCGGTTGTCCGGGAATCGCAAGCGCCCGCATGCGAATGGTCTGCACTAACGCTCTCTCCCAAGGGTCGTATCTGGGCTGTCCGGCGGCCTCCTTGAAGGCTCTCATGTCGAAGCCGGTGACATTGGGCTTCGGGCCGTGGGTGGCCCTGAGTATCCTATCGTCGGAAGGGGGTCCATTAGTCGGCTGGTCTCGAATGTACCAAATCAATTGACCACTTTAGAAGGAGCATACCTCGATGGCTGCATGATTGCTGTGTGAATGTCGTCTCGCCGTACAACAATGGACGGTTCGGGGTTGTGGTCAGTCGAGTTGGAAGGAAGCTGATTGGAGATCTTTGAGATGTTGTCGTCGGAAAGTCCCGCTGGTACGTACCTGGCTGGCTCGGGGCCCCGCACAGACCACCCCTCCGTCCATGGTCAACTCAGCAAGCCTTTGGGCTCGTAGACACACATTCTGTCCCTAAAACCGAGCTCAGCCAGACGTATCTTTACCCAGCGCCCATCGCACAGCACGACTCAGAACGAACGAAACAGAAATCAATCGTCGCAACGATACCGAAGCACGCGCAGAATCGAACCTTTTGGACGACGCACCTCACCGAGCGAGACCGAGTTCCGACGACCGGCGGCGGAGAACAAAGGCGCTCTTCTGCTGCCAGGCCCCGTACCTCCTCAACCCCAGACGCAAATGCAGGGCCGTGGATCGTCCACAACCCCTCAGAGACCGACGAAACATCGTTCGACGACGCGGTAGACTCGCAATACTTCATATATAACTTGAAGCCCCTTCTCGGGAGGCAAATTCTGGCATGCCGCCACCGATCCCTAGGTTCCCTGGCGGGCCCAACACCATATCGCCTTACCACCAGCAGTTCCCCTCCCACGCCGCCCAAGGCCATGCCGCGAACCATGGGCCTCCCCTCGGTGGCAATCCCTCCTACCTCAACGCCAACGCCCAGATCAGCCCCTTTTCTACGAACGGAAATGTTCTTGGCGGTACTCCAGGTCTAAATGGCGGCTTCCCCCTGGGCGCCGACAATAGCCTCAGCAGCCACGCTGCGCGCATGAGCTTCCACGCCGCGAACTTGCAGCAGCAACCGCACGGCCAGCCGCAGCACAACTTTGGGCTCGACCATGGCGGCGCGCCGGCGCGAACGACCCAGAACAAGGGAAGGATACGTGAGGTCTGGAAGCACAATCTTGTCGAGGAGATGGCCGTGTTGAGGGAGCTTGTCGACAAGTATCCGTATATTGCCATGGTTAGCTGAGACTCAGCCCCCGAGACTCGGGAAGACCAAAACTGACGACTGTCAATCGTAGGATACCGAATTCCCAGGCGTGGTGTCACGGCCGATGGGCTCTTTCAGGGGGAAGAGCGATTACCACTACCAGTGCCTGCGCACCAACGTTGATATGCTCAAAGTCATCCAGATCGGGTTGACACTGTTCAACGAAGACGGCGAGACGCCTCCTGCGCGACCAAATTCGACTCAAGACATTGAACTAGGTGCCGCGGGCAAAAGGGCCGCGTCGCAAGGTCCCTTCCCCTATGCCTGGCAGTTCAACTTCAAATTCTCCGTCAAGGACGACATGTACAACGAGAAATCGATCGAATCATTATCGAGCGCGGGCATCGACTTTGCTCTCCTCGAGAGAGACGGTATCGACCCTCACGAGTTCGCTTCTCTCCTCATCCCGTCCGGTCTAGTCTGCTTCGACAACGTAAAGTGGATCTCCTTCCACGGCGGCTACGATTTCGGGTATCTCACCAAGCTCCTCACCTGCAACGACCTTCCCAACGACGAAGCGGACTTCGATGGAGTCATGAAGAAGTACTTCCCGTCAGCTTATGATGTCAAGCATCTTATGAAGCATGCCATTCGACTGCATAACTCGGGGCTCCTCACCCCGAGCGACCCCAGCAGCGCCGATATCCTCCAAAAGTTCGAGCACAAGTCTGGTCTTGAGAACATTGCCGACTCCCTCAAGATCAAGCGTGTGGGCAACGCGCATCAGGCCGGTTCCGATTCTCTGCTCACGGGCAAGGTCTTCTTCCAGATGCGCGACAAAATCTTCAACGGTGAGATCCCCGAAGAGCACGTCGGCAAGGTGTGGGGTCTCGGCATTCCGGACCTCTTGGTGCTCGAGAGGCTGCCGCCGTTCGGTAACAACGCCGGCAACCAGGACCAGTCGCACCAGGGACCCAACGGCCAGCAGAACGGCGGGCCAAGCACGCCCAACACTGCTAGTGTCGGCCTTGTGAGCACACCCGCCGCGCAATCCCACAACACCAACGGCCTATCGATGGGCCCGATGACACCGGGTGGGGGCGGCGGCGTGTTCGGTAACTTTGCCTTTGCAGGCAGAAGTTAGGGAGTTAAGCCTCCGGACGCCCATCACTATAACCACACTGGGATGCTTTAGGGTTCTGGCGCGTGTTGTACCCTGAGACTGGCCATGGTGACTTGTTCTCAGGGGCACAACCTCATTGGGTTTGGTTTTGCATCATATTTCTATCTTGAAGGTCCACGAGCTGTTATCCACTCTTTATGTCGAACACGCTCAGCCTCGGGAGTACATCTAGTTTGAGGCGGGTTCCAGAAGTAGGAGCAATATCCCTCTGGGCTCGTTTCGTTCTTTTCGGTCGAACGTCTTTGTGTGCGCGGACTCGATATGGAGTTGGGATTCGGGAAGGTCCTGGTTTCATGAATCACGTCAGAAAAAAGGGAAAACGAGCAAGGCTGTTGGAAACCTGGGTTGGACCAAGGTGTGGGCGGTGTTCATGGCTTTCTTTCATTTCAAGGAAAGGGGGGAAACACACAAGCACACTGACACACACAAATAACAACGCCATCGAGGATAGATGGATGGAAAGCTATATATGCATTACCAGCCTGAAAAGTAAACCCAGCTTGCGGTTCTGGAAGGGCAAGGGAAGGAAAACGGCTGTCACCAACTAAAGAAAGAAGAAGACACAGCGGGAGTGAGAGAGAGCGAGATAAGAGAGGACGAGCGTATGAAACTTCTCTTAATCATGTACTGTATTGTGAATACCTGGATCAAACGGTGGGGTTGGGGGAACGACTGCAATTAAAACGCGTGTTTAGTTGTTCACAGTGCTGCTGCTGATGATGTATCCTGATTTGGTCAGTCTACAACAGACGTATAATGGTGACGACGCATTTGATTGAACGGGTGGTTTTTGATTGGGGTTGTCTAAATACTCTGGTACAACTGTACTTCTTCGATTGAAACCTGCCTGGCTTCTAAGAAATTTCCAAGAAAAAAGGGGGGGGGACGCTGCGCCTGAAACTCCAAACCCATTCGAAATGAACCTTTTACGCTGTAACAAAGGGACCTGCAACCTTGTGAAGGTATAATGATGCGGTACACATAACGAGGAGGACAAGCGCCATTTCGTCCTTCTCGACGGGGCGTAGATTGCTCATGTAATGAAAACCTTCTTGAGCTTGTCTACCGAGTAAATATCGCCGGTCCTCAGGTCCTTAACCTGGTCCGGCGGGAGGCCCGATTTCTTGGCGTAATCTTCCAGACGCTCCTTGCCGTAGGCGCGGCTGTTGGGGAGGAGCAGCAGGTCGTGCTCGACGTAGCTCTTGGTGTGGTGCGCGTACGGGACGTTGCGCGCGAGGTCGTTGAGCTCGGTGGAGCAGATGGGGCACACGGACTGGGTGCCTGCCGTCGCGGAGGCGTTGGTGGCGGTGTTTGCGTCCGAGGGGGCCACGTGAGACGAGTTTGCCGAGTGGCAGGCTGGTGTCTTGAGGGCGGACAGGCCGGAGGAGAGGGCGATGTGGAGGAGCGGGAAGGAGGGGAGGGCGAGGAGGGAGTTGTGGGTGCGGGTGAAGAGGTCCGCGAGGGTGTTCCAGCGGTCTGGGCTATAAAGGTCGGAGTAGACTGCGTTGGCGGCGTTCGGGGGGTACGCAAGGAGGCCGAAAGCTTTGCGGAGCTCTTCCGGGTAGGTCGCCTTGAACGGGACTAAGTACCTCTTCGCGTGGGCGATTGCGTCGAGCAGTTTTGGTTGGGACTGGGTGCGGACTAGTTCGATGTATTGTTGGAACCGGAGCATGAATTCGAGGTTGCTCTGAGAGAGGTCGTTAGCATCCTTAGAGGGAGGGGGGTGTTGCGGGAGAGAACGCACATCCATCTTTCTCAGTTCCTTTTTGTTATCCTGGCACCACGCAAGAGCTTCTACGACGCTTCCGTTCCGCAACGCTTCCTGGATTCGACTCATTTGCACAAACGTCTCCACGTCCACGAGGTCATCCATGCCGCGCTCCGCCGTCAGGGCTTTGGCGGACTCGTTGTATCCGTGCCGCAGAAGGTAGTCGACCAGCAGACGATCCAGCCGCGCGCGGCTCCACGCTTCATACTTGACGTCGTCGACGGAGTGCATGCCGTACAGGTCGCCGAGGTGGGAGATCCTGGCGCCGGCCTGGCGGGTCAGACGGGCCTCCTCGTCGGCGTGGGCGGCGAGCTTGCGTTTTACGCCGCGCATGCGGGCGATCATTGTGTCGAGGTTCTTGAGGACATCGTCGGGTGAGGCGCGGCCGTTGACGGAGGCGGTGGCCGTCTCTTTGAGCAGGGACTTGATTGCTGTCGAGTCCTTCTCGACTGTGAAGTGGGCTTGGCGGAAGTTCTTGCGGAGAAGTTCGTACGGGAGGCGGAGGAGGGGTTGGTCCTGGCGGCATGGGTTAGTTCACATCGTGACGGAGGGCGAGGAGGGGGCCACGGACGAGGAGGAGGTGGTCTTGGTGTTTGATTATTGAATGTTCGTGGTCTGCCATGTTGGAGCTTCGAGAGGGTTACTCTCGAGGGTTTCAATGGCGAGTTGGAAAGTTATTGGTGAAAGGCCTCCTCGGCGGAGGGATGTTGGCTGTTGGCGTTGTGGCTTCGGGAGTTCGGGAGATGGGATTGAGTGGAAGCTGGGAGCACAGATGCACTGATACGGCGCCAACGACCTGGACGTTGACGTTATCCGGGCCGATGTCAATGTGGCGGGGCCAGGGTGGCTGTTAAGATATACGGAAATTGATCTTTGAGCGGGATGTTTTCAAACAAATTTCATGGGCTGGGTTGACTGCTTTCACTGATCAAGACATCAACCTCGCTCGTCAACTTCTCCTGCCAGGACGTCATTCACAGCTTGCTCTCGTGCTTCACTTCCGATGCTTCATCCCCAACCCCACAAGTGACGGACTGCTATCTGTGCACAGACCACTTCTGTGGCTCTCGCCCGCTTACATAAGGCCGAGGTCCCTAAAGCTTTCTGATGCCCCCCACCTTCCGTCTCTCGTAAGCACCTCAGTCACCGTCGTGATCATGGTGGTAGAATGTAGCAGGTAACACACGAACGAGGCGACGACTCGCAACGGTCAAGACTATCTTGGCCGATGCAGACGCTGTGCTCGTCTTCAAAGTGGAATGTCTCACAACCCATCAGTCACTTGATTCATGCTGGCAGCCCACGGCGGCATCAGGTGATTGGCGAGGCTCGGCATTTCCTGACGCGCCAGGCGACGGTTGGGTGCACTGTACCGAAGCCAGAGGCTAACAAACCCACACTCCTCAGACCGGTCGGAGCTACCCCTGCTCTGCGGTGCTGTCGTAGCTTGCTGCTTGCCCGTAGCCCGTACGGATAGCTTCGGCCGTGCTGTGTGTTGTACTAACATGTTGAGGGTGACGATAACGCGCGCCATCGATAAGACGCGACAAGCATCACTCGCATGTCTCCCAGGCCGGGGAGTCTGCTGCAGCGTGTGCCCCTCTGAAGAAATGGGATTGGATCGGGGCAGTCGCGGAAGGAGTACGCTGGCACCCACAGGCCAGCCGGGCGCCTGGGGGGTGTGGCTTTCGGCATGCTGATTGGCCATGTCCGAAGTCCTGCCTCAGGCCTGCATCCGTCCTCGCTCTCAGGCGTATTTATCTCCAGCCTCACCCACTTTGCACGTGTTCACCCTCTTCCTCTGCCGCGTGACCAGAGCTTCCCGCCGTCGTTGCGCTGCTGCTCCCCCCCCCAAATCGACAAGCCCGACTCAACCACCCCGACCTGCTCTTGCCCAGGAATTAAAAGAGTAGCGCAAGCCTGCAGTTCGTCTCGAACTACTGAAGATTCTTTTCAAGAATTGCATTTCGCGTGAAGTTTTTCGACTCGTCCTCGAGGGTTTTCGACTTGAACCTCGACACTTACAACGGTACAACCGGCCCCATCCGGAGCGAAAGGGCCCCCCAGCTGCCGCACCCGCCGCCGCGCGATATCACGAGTTTGATCACGCCGCCAACACGTGAACTCCAGCAAAACCCGTGATCTGGAGCTCCCTCCCTACACCGCCCAGACCACGCTGCGAAGCACATGATCTAGAGGTATGCGACCTGTCCCATTTTTCCTGACGATCTTCCTCTCTGCCCTATCGCCTCTCACTATCACACGGCCAATGCAACGCGCAGGCCTGCCCTTCTCTGGGGGCGCGTCTGTCGCTGTCGCTTGCGCTATTTTCTGGAATGAAGCCCATCCTCGGCGACGCGCATCGCGATGCTCTTCCCAACCACAATCAAGCGATTGATATCGAGAAACCCTTGAGAACTAATGATTGATACAAATCTATCATGAGAGGAAGAAACACTACCTGTGCTCCTATGTCTACTGCTCTACGTGAGATGCACGATCTGAAGGACTGAATGCCCTCAAAATGCCTGCTACGCCTGCCTCCCTCCAGCTCATTCACAGTCTCACTCAACAATGCTCTTTGGTCAACAAGACCTGAGTGTTGAAGCAGGAACGTCAACTCAAAGGGCAAGTGCTCTCACCATTCTTGCACTAGGCTGGCTGTCGCCTTCCCTCCGGATTCTGCAGCCGCAGTGAATTTCGTCTCACCTTCCGTCCAGAGTGCCTCATCTCACCTTTGCCCCATCGGCACCTTCTCTTACTTCCTATCCCGGTGCAGTCAGATTTTTCGATGCTAATAACCTCGTCAGCCTCATCAAGCGACCTTGGGTGCTGATTCAAATTCTGAGTTGTGGACGCCTGTCTAGCATTACCATCAACCACCTCTTCGTCCAACGAAAACTTTCCTCCTCACCCCATAAGTACGATGGCCGAAGTCCTCAGCGACCACCCAGACCTGTCTGAGCTGGCTCAGTCACCCTCTCCCGGTCAGAAGCGCAAGCGTGACATGTCGGAGTCTACGAGTCCTGGCCGTGCCAAGCGCACCAGCGCCGGACCTGATGCAGACACCACTGCCTTCATTGAGAATGCCATCGAGGCTGCCAACGCCGCCGCCGCTAATGGCGTCAATGTCGCCGACTTCAGCGCCCTCCAGCAAGCTGCTGCCGCCGAGCACTCCGAGGCCGCCGACCCGGCCAATGCGTCCAGCACCGCGGCTGCCGCTCTTGGAATGTATCCCACTCTCCACGTTCCGCCCACTACGGAAGAACAATTCGCTGCTCAGGCCGCCAATGAGCCTCACCAGGATCACTTCCCTTCCCCGGATGGACTCATGTCATCACTGCCGAACGTTCCTCAGCCTACCAATGGAGTGCAGGGTGTGCCTCAACCACCTCATCAGACACATCAGCCTCCTCCACCCCAGCCGCCTCAACACCGCTACTCCACCGGATCTGCCAGTACACCAGCCAAGAAACCCGATGTTGGCTCGGAGGAGTGGCACAAGATGCGCAAGGACAACCACAAAGAGGGTGAGTACGCCTAACTTTCCTCGTTGAACGTACACTAACACGTGGACAGTGGAGCGCCGTCGACGCGAGACGATCAATGAGGGCATCAACGAGCTCGCCAAGATCGTGCCTAACTGCGAGAAGAACAAGGGATCTATCCTCCAGCGCGCCGTTACGTTCATCAACCAGCTCAAGGAGAACGAGAACCAGAACATCGAGAAGTGGACTCTGGAGAAGCTGTTGACGGAGCAAGCTATAGCAGAGCTCAGTGCGTCCAACGACAAGCTCAAGCAAGAGTGTGAACGTCTCTATAAGGAACTAGAGACGTGGAAACGCGTTGCTCAGAATGCTGGTCTTTCGTACCCTCAGGCGAATAAGGATGAGCCAGCTGCCGCCACTTAGAAGGTCAAGGCCGACAGCTCCCAGCCTCGCACTCAGCCGCGCCCTACCACCAAGCAGGCCTTTTTAACTGACACGACTTCGGAGGTCTCGGGCGGAAGTCATGAGTCTCCCGAAGCCAAGCTCAGCTCATCTCCGACACCTCACAACGTTCCCTCTAATTCCGTTGACGGTCATCGGGTTGGCAATGTTGAGCCTCCCAATAGACTCCCTACCCAGCACCGAAGCTCGATTTCCCTTCAACCTGGCCAGCTGGCCTCTCAATTCGCTGCCGTCGGTTATCAGCAAATGATGGATGAGGACGCAAGAATCAGGTACTACCTGAGGGTGCTCCAAAACCAATCTCACACCGCGCCTCCTTCCTTCCCTTCGACTTATACCCCTCAGCAGCCCTAAGCTGCTTTCTTCGATGTTCTTTACTCAATTATAAAGCACGATGGATGTCACATCCGACAGGCAGATAGTCTATAATGAATCATTGCTCCCTAGCCCCTTCAAACTCTGTTTTACGCGTATGGATTGTTATCAGCGTTGGAGGTTTCGCGATGGTATCGTAGGATTTCGGGTTTCTTTGAGCAGTCATGCATACGGCCGGACGTCCCGTCTGCCCGGTCTTGGCGTCGGAGGTTACGCTTCTCTAGTTGAGTCGCTGGCTATTTATCTTTGAGGCGCAAATAATATTGATTCTGGCCTGAAATCTCGTGTCTGGTCTATGATGAATGGTCTCAAAGGGCACGTATCCCGATCATGCTAGAGTCTGCGGATTCGTGCTGTCAAAAAGTAATGTGCCCCATGTAGTCGAACATCCCATACGGCATGTTAAGGCGCGCTCAGTGTTGCATAACGATGATCTATAAATGGCGGGTTGGTTCCTTCTTCTCACGACTTCACCGAGGAAAATAGTCCATCGACTGTCGTCGGGGCTTGGAACTGGCAAGGTCGGGATCATCAATTCTACAACTTAACCTCCCCGTTATACAAGAGACTGATGGGACGCCGTTGCAACTTCTGCATATCTCTGTCGTCCGTCCTCGCCGACAGTTTATCCAGGGTCAGGGGTGACGCCCTGAGCCAGATGTTCGCACAATAGTATATGTTTAGTTGATCTCGACAGCAGGCAACCAGGTTTACTTTGCTTTCCACTTACTAGTAATCTATCCGCGTTGTACCTCTTGATTAATTGTTCTGGCATGTTCACGATGCCTCAAGTCTGGCGTCTCGTTTTCTTTACAGGCGGACTGAGGCTTCGCGGTTGCTGTATTGGACCCTTGAGCAACCTAGGCATGCTGTATACATCAGCTCGTTCTTCGGATGTAGCTGGCGGCTACTAATTTCGGGACTGCTATAAGTTTGCACCGTGGACTTTGTCTAGTAGTACACTCCAATCCTGGTAGTCCTCATCCCCGTTGAGGTCCAGGTACCAGCTGTCACAGCCAGTAAAAGCTGCGGTCACAAACGACCGGTTCCATATTGGGGACAGGAAGCTATGCAATAGATAGCATGGCCCTTTGGTGCTGTCTTTCATCCCCCCTGTCCTGCGTTGTTTATCTTTGTGGAATACTGGAGACGTATATGCGATGTACACAGCGAAGTCTTGAAGCTAGACAGTCAACAAGTGCTGTCAGGATAGGGACTTTTCTGGAAGACCCGAAGAGAACTTGAGTACCTAGGGCATCGTTGTTGCCACAACATCCGAGGGTTCTGGAAACCCATCTGTCAAACACGTTCTGTTGCTGTTATCATAGCCCCCTTTGTCCCATTTGAAGCATTTGCAGGTTGTATTAGTACTTAAAGATCCAGAAATCTGCGTCAGTGATATTCAATGCGCTCGGTTCTCTTGCAAGATATCGCAGCGTTTCGGTGCCCTCGTAAGGGGAAGGAGGGATACGAGTCGAGGGGTTTGTCCGCACATGTCTCTGGGAAATCCACGACTCGGGCTCATTTTGACACAGTCTCCGTCGTTCAATACTGCTCGCTGTTTATTCTTTCTACAACGAGAAAGTTTCTGTTTTCACCTCGAGTTGAGACTTCAGTGCGTTCATGTCAGGCAGTGCTAGCCCAAAACAACGATGATTCTTCGGACCCGGCTGGTAAGAAAATCCAAGTAAAACCGTGACGCACGGATTTGTTTATTTTGGCATAGTCCTAGAACCAAATGCACCGAGTCTTATATGGCAAGCGGTCTTCCTCAGCTGACAACGTTTCAATCTTGAACGAGATCCTTGAAAGCCCCGAATTTCATCAAATTGTCACACATCAATGGAGATAAAAGCATAGTATGCGTCTCTCGTTGCTCCCCCGCGGCTTACTTGTCTTGGAAGATGGACCTGTATCTAGATGCAAGGATGATATCTGCCCAGGTACAAGAGCGCCCTGGAATCAGACGTACCGCTAATGATGTCAACGTGGCAATATAGTCACTTTGCGCCGCTGTGTTGCAGTTTCTGCCGTCTATTCGCCCCTTCGTGACGATGCATCAGTTTTGTGTCTGGTCATATAGGCGGCGGGAACCGACTGACAGACATACCACCCAAGCCATGGTCAACTCTCAAGTTGTTGGCATGAGTGTCGCCTACTGTCTGCTCGACAGTAGATGCCGTCAACGACTCCCATACTTGGGAGTCCGAATTTGTTCTTCAGCTGGAGGCTCCATCTAACTAGAAGGAATATGTAGACTGTCACACTCCGCGCTAAGCATTTTAGAATTACTACAAGCGTCCTGGGCAGAAGTTTGGTTTCAAGGTACTTTAGGAGGGATCGCCCGAAGTGAGTTACGTTTCAGAGATTTTCTGTAGCAAAGCTGCCTTTTGAATCGGCCCTATTGACAAGATAGACTCCGGTTTACAAGATATAAAAGTGGTATATCAGACAATTCAGCTCATCTTTTACGGCATTAACTTGGGACCCTGTCTGTTTGGCAGTTGCCTGGCGCCAAAAGCACGCACCAGGCTAGACATGTGCAACCATCTCCATTAGAAGGGATTCGGTACTATCCCGAGCGCTTGATCGTCTTCCTTTGTTTCTTCCATTGCATCAGTCGACGTATTCAGGTGGTCTATGTAATACCTGTGTGTAGATTTCCAGATCGACTTAGGTCATCGCTATGGAGTTTTGGCAATCCCTGGTCTGAATCTGATGGAGATATGTAATACTGAATATTTCTATTTGTCAGCTACGAAGTCTTCGAAACCTACTGCCCAGTCTTCTATACGAGCTTTCTAGTACTCTTGACCAGACTCACAATGCCATTTCTCGTCTAGACGATCCTGTACGGCATGGTCGTCCAGGCAGTCTGGAAGCTCATTACATTATGTTATATCAATTTGCAGTTGAGCCTCATGTTATTTGGTCCCGGAAAGAGACAAGTTTTGCGTTCGGAAGCTTCTGTAGATTACTGAGGTGTGAAATTTCTTCGGATCCCGCGAGATTGGGAGTATAAGAGCTATGCTGCTCTGTCAATTCAGTGAGAATATTCATCTTTCTCGATATCTGTTCTTCTTGGAGTATTCCTCAATCTCGCCGTGACAAGAAAAGTCGATAAAAGACGTACATACACGTCTGTCAAGCCATGATACATCTAATTTCAAGGGTGAACTCACCACTCATCACCCCCAATCCAACCACAGCGGATTCTGGGGGCTATTTCCTCGAGTCCCGACACCATGTGCAAGTCAACTAAACTTTTTCAACAGATACCAGGTTACGACCACTTCAATGCATGGACACTTTGAATCAATTGGTTCGGTCCTTGCATGATGCGCTGAAACTATTTTCTCGGATCAGCAGTATTAACCATGATCTCGTTGTCGTCATTCCCAAGGGTTGGTCGGTTTTCACATAAGGTGAAACACAAGTTTGACGTCGATGTGTACAAGAAATATCAATCTTTTCTTTGTCGCCAGATTCCATCGACACAATAAACGCAGGATACAAGTGACGGAGAGCATCGTTGAATTCAAGCTCGGTCTTTGCCTCCTGCGGACAGAGTAGCACTTGCATAGACGGACCCGGAGTCTTTTGATTGGCTTCGTTGAATAACGCCAGTCATGTCGGTCCATTGATGTTTTGAAACAATGTATGCTTTGGTGAAGACTTCTTGGCTTTTATAATGGAATGTGCTAAACGATAGCTCGTGATAGGGGCTGCTCCTGATCTGGTATGTTGGTGTTTGGATTAGTTCCAACAAATGTCCTTCACTTCCATGGCTATCGGAAGGGAGTGTGCAAGCTTCTTCGCTGACCCTCTCGTAATTCAAAAGGCGAATCGTCGAATGTGGCGACGTAACGTCCATGCATCACCTCATTAAGTCGTCCTTTCCCATTAGGTTTGCAACCCTCAAGACCACCATGGAGGACCGGGCTTTCTGCCATCAGTTATACGAGTATCCGTTCGAAGACACCACATCGCAACCGCGGACCACCGAACATGCACACCGTACATGTAGCAACGCAGTTGACCTTGTACAAGGAGGCCCCCGGCTCTCGAATATGTCGGATCCTCGGGTTCGGATCCAAGGGAAAGAACTCGGCCTGCAACAAGCAGGTAGTTTGTTCTCAATTGGTTGGGGGCTGCATTTGTTGCAGCGTCCCTTTTGCCTGCATAGGGGTGAACGCACATGCACAACCAGCAAACAACATCCCTTATTTTGAACTGACGTGGCGAGGAATGATGACCCATCACCGTTTGGATCACAACTTGACCTCTATCATTTGTTTGCTTCTAGTGTAGATTCTCCTGCCGGATCTGGTAGCAGCAACGAACATGACCTCGCAAGCCGGGCCAGCGCCGGGAAGGGGCACAGCCTTGTGTGATGACATGCATCATTGGCGGCAAGGTCTGAACCTGCCCACCCGGCGTGAAGGGCTGATTGATTGGTTTGATTACTCAAATCTTTGGCTGAGAGCCTCTACTGCCCCCTTCGGCTTCGAATCCATTTTATTACCCCTTTAGTGCGTTGCTTCACGGTTATACTCGCCGTACTCGATTGTTCAAACAGCCCAACA